GCACCGCGTATATGATAAAACAGCGTTAAGTGAAACTCGTTCGAAATATATATATATATATATATATATATATATATATATATATATATATATATATATATATATATATATATATATATATATATATATATATATATATATATATATATACACACAGTATTACCCGCCCAACTGGCAGTTTCACTACGCTTTATCTGTGCTCGCCAAACTTCACTAACACGGATTTCCATATACGCGATGATGTCCCTCACGCTATTTCAGATTAGCCAACCCGCCACCCTGCTTACGACTTAACTCATAAAATTCATACAAATACCCGCAAATATAATTTACATTGCTGGAATTCTTATAATTTGGTGATCATTTTGAATATAAACATCATATATTTTGCATTAGACATACAAATTTTAGATAAAATTTTTTCTCTGGGTAACCATGTTATCTTTTGTGCAAAATATATGACATTTATATTCAAAATATTCCTTGTCACAAAGGAATCAGCAATGTCAATTGTATTATCTAACTTTAGTTTGAGGTATTATTTAAATTTAGTAGTTCCAAAAATTTCTCAGAGAGGGAAGAGCGGCAGTGTAATGTGAGAGGGGGAGGGAGTTGAATCATTATTTGAATGGACATTAACTTGGCGACTGTATTTCTCTATTTCTCTTAAGTATTAATTGTGTGCATGTACCATCATAAAAATTTAGATGTTATTTTTACTACAACAATGTGTCTTCAAAGTGGAGTTTGAGGGGTCAGGAATATCCCATATCTTGTTGTTCACTGTGATTTCATAACACGGGACCCTCTGGGTTCTATTGACTTGCGATCTAGTAATTGATATATATATATATATATATATATATATATATATATATATATATATATATATATATATATATATATATATATATATATATATATATATATATATATATATATATATATATATATATATATATATATATATATATATATATATATATATATATATATATATATATATATATATATATATATATATATATATATATATATATATATATGCAAGTAAATCACTGTAGTTGTGCGTGACCCAGGTATATGCTGATAACCACAAGGAAAGAAGAAAACACGAAGTTCCCAAGCGCTTTCGTATAATTCACATCTTCAGGGGTGAGTACAGACTAAGGTGAAGTACAAAACAAGGTGTATATATACAGAGGAGGGTGAGATCAGGTCCACAATGGTCAGGTATTAGGTAATGACCCTACTAATCTTTAAAAAGCAAGTCAGAGGGTAAGGTGACCCAACCTTCTCACCTGGTTACAAATCTTATACTGTACGTCCGTGCCCCCAAAAAAAACCACGTGGCGCCTGCTGGACCACCACTCCACGACCCCTTGACAGAGACACGATGATCCTCCCCATACTGGTCAGATATTATGTGTTAAAGGAATATGCTTCCTTACTTAGGCTTTTCTAAGCATTTGCCTACAGGTGAATGTTAACCTACATCTATTGAGGATAAAATCTTTCACCTACAAATTGACAATAACACATTTGCTGTAATCAGACATATCTAGTTGCCTCAACAATTGCAAGTTGCAATTGGGGTTGCAATTTCAAATTCTGTGGCATTACTAAATATAGTAAAGTTTCTGGTGCACTCTAAGATAAAGAGAGAAAACGGAGGACTCAGGCGTCCTGATGTGAGAGAAAACGGACTCGTGTGACAGGGACCAAATAAAAAAAGCATAGCTACAAGTTTTGTGGACTACAGTATTATGGTACAGGGGTCCCAAGTGACAGCACTAGGATCCCGCTTCCTCTATCAAGGAATAAACAATTAAAATTTAAATTGAAAAAAAACATTCAAATAAATTACTATCTTACAAGAATCCCTCCAATGTAAGCTATATTCATCCAGGTCATTTGGGTGGAAAATTATGAGAAGAGCTTAGTCACTCTTAAGTAATGATAAATAAACACGCAGGCAGGCCTTCAACGCCAACTGTCAAATCTTATCTCAAATAAATAAACAAACAAATGCCAGACATTCTGTCACCTCACCTCCCACCACCCTCCTGTTCAAGATAAAAGATTGGTGATTTCTTTATGTTTATTTTATATAATATCTCAGACTAAAGTTAGGATAATATAATTTGCATTGCTGAAATCCTTGCAAGACAGAGATTAATTTGAATATAAACGTCATATATTTTGCTCAAGATATAAAAAATGTAGTACCTTAGTCTACCATACTGTAGTACATTTTATAAAAAGTTTTTCAACTGTATTTTTGGGTCGATTTACATAGATATCTTAGTGCAAAGCTGGAGTGCACATGTACTAATTTGATAACGGTACTAAAATTGTTTTGTCTAGTGCAAATTACAGCATGTTTATATTCAAATTAATCAGTATGTTATAAGAATCCCAGCTATGTTAATTCTATTCACCCAGGTCATATCACTGGCATTTTAAAATGAGAGAAGCTTAGTAGGACTGTTAAATAAACACACAGAGACCTTCGCCTCAAACTTATCACCTCAACCCCCCCACCCACCCCTAACCTCTCGCTGGGTGGCGGAGCCGTCAGTCCTCCCCCCCCCGTCCAGCCAGGCTCTTAGGCTTACAGTTTTTATCTTATATAATATCTCAGACTAAAGTTAGGAGATTATAATTTGCATTGCTGGAATCCTTGCAAGACAGCCAATAATTTGAATATAAACGTCATATATTTTGCTCAAGAGATAAAAATTGTTGTACATTAGTGTACAGTACTGTAGTACATTTTATAAAAAAGTTTTTCAACTGTATTTTTGGGTAGATTTACATAGATTTCTTAGTGCAAAGCTGGAGTGCACATGTACTAATTTGATTACGGTACTAAAATTGTTTTGTCTAGTGCAAATTATAGCATGTTTATATTCAAATTAATCAGTATGTTACAAGAATCCCAGCTATGTTAATTATATTAACCCAGGTCATTTCACTGGCTTTTTATAAGAGAAGCTTAGTCACCTAAGAACTGATAAATATGCACGCGTTAGACCTGGGCCTGTGCCAACTGTCAAACGTACTACCTCCCCTCCCCCCACGCCCCCTCACTCACTCCCTCCCTCTCTCTCCCCCATCTGCTGGCGTTGCTGGAATCCTTGTAAAACAGTGAATAATTTTAATATAAACGTCATGTATTTTGCACAAGAGATAAAAATTAATCACCTGTATCACATTACAGTAATGATTTAAGAGTAAAAGTGTATATGTACGTACATAGTATTCCACATACACGTAAGTATAAATAAAAAGTTTATGTGATGATCGGACAACGTCCATTTCGGTTAACGTCACGTTTCCAAGAACGTATCTAGGACGTTAACCGGCGCATGGCTGTACATATATATATATATACAGGTACTCCTCGACTTATGACAACCCGGACATAAAACCGCCGTGGTCGTTTAAAATATTTTTCAAATTACGTATTTTCTAGTACCGAAACGTTTCCATCCCGCACAAAAGCGTAGGCAGGGCCGCCTCGTGGTGTACAGCGTCCACGCTGTAGCCCTCTCAGTTGGTGTTTGGCCGTCGTTGTTGTTAGTGATCGCGCTGTGTACTGACGAAATTTTCATTTCTAATTCCCTTGAAAAAGGCTGGCAAGCATAAAAGTGAGAGTTCTCGTGGTATTGATAAGAAAAGGAGACAGTCAATTACTTTTGAGATGAAAATGAAGATAATAATGCAATATGAAAATGGAAAAACGGTAGCAACCATTTCACGCGACCTAGGCTTCTCTCACTCAACGATATCAAAAAATTTTGAAGGACAAGTCAGAGGCATTTGCTAGTATTAATAAGGGGATGCAAATGTTTGAAGAAATGGATCAAAATGTTGAGCATTTTGCAAAAGTTATATTTTAAGAAGTCCCCCACTGCTGTCTCCTCACACCCCACCAGTGCTGCCTCTTCACTCCCTAAAGATGATCCAATACCTTCAACAAGCAAGTATGTTAGCCTATCTGAAGAAAGCGAAATTGATGACCCACCCAGCCTTGTCTCCTCCTCTGCTTCATCCAATTAATGTAGTCTCCATGTTTAATTAAAAAATTATTGGGGCCCCGTGTGCATTCAGCTGAATACATTAAAGGTAAGTGCACAGTAACACTTTACTCATTTTTAATTATTAATTACTTTTACTGTATTGTATTTCATTTTAGAATTTCTATGTATTATTTTTGCATTTTTGACTTATAACCAATTCGACTTACAACCTGGTCTTCGGGACGGAATCCCGCCGTAAGTCGAGGAGAGACTGTACATCCATTTTCGTGGCAAGGATAATGGTCTTACGTTGCCTCTTCACTACACTAGCATCAGTAGCACTTGATGGGCACTTGGAAGCCATTTTGAATGGTTATAGTACAGTTTTAGAGCAAAAGCACTTAAGCACACAGTGAGGGCAGCACACTGAGCCGAGAGAGCGTAGTGCGGCCAGACAAGAGCAGGTGATGCGCCATAGAACGTAGTCCGTGACCACGCAAAATGACGTAGTATCGGATCACCGGGACATTAAAAAAATTTTTGGTCTCTAAAGTTTAGCGACGTTAAGCGGGACGGCGTTAAGCGGGGACTTACTGTACAGTACTTGCAGATCCCGACAAGGATTCATCAGTTCATCCTCCTGCATGGTTGAGTTAAAGGCAAAAATCTGAGAAGTGAGAAGAGGAGTGGATGAAGTTTAGAGCTAATCATTAAAGGTGGACCACAATAATTTGCTATTGTTTCAGTCTTCTGAAATCTGGTAGGTTGTTCGAGCACAAAGTTTGATTTGGACAACTTTAATTGCTTTGGCAAGATCTCTTTACTGTCCTTAAAGTAGCTGCCAAAGTGAAATATTAACTCCTCTCACTTACACACAATCTTTGCCCATAAAAAAGTTTGACTAGACTGACATGAAAATTAAGAACATTTCCAAAATTCCTCAAAAGACTAATAAGACACAATGAAGAAGCTTACCTTGAGCCTATCTAAGTTGAGCCCATAATCATCAATTATAGTTGTACCATTGTGCATGACTCCATTACCAGTCATCATCCAGGTGCCAGATCTGAAATTCATATGCATTTTACTGATGTGGTAACATACTATAGGATAAACAAGGCCGAAATGTAATGCAATGGTTGACAACACCGAAAATCTATGTGGAAATATAACTGGAAAAATTTTAAATGTGAAACACCCGAGACAAAACAATCACTGAAAAATATTTCCAATATGAGATTAGTTGTGAAATCCAAATTTATAATGGAGCTAAGATAAATTGACTCATGAATACGTCCACTGAAGACTGGGGCTTATAACCACGAAGAAGACTAGCATTCTCCCCCAGAAGTAACACTTACCCTGAAGACAGAGTTAGAAAGAAATCTGGCAAATAATGACTCAGGTGTCACAGAGCACCTCTGAGATCCATTCATATGTAGCTAAACTACAAAGAAAACCAAATGACCATTCACTTTCAGCAGACCCCAGTAAAATACCTGAGGGAGAAGTACAGAAACTGTGACACAATATTCAAATAAATTTATACAGTAGTGTAATACAAGATTTTGGGATAAATTTCACATTCATAACCTAAGCCTGTCAACAAAAACTCATGAATACAGTAGAACGTCGATATAACACGAGATACGTTCCAAGACAGGTTGCTTTAAACCGAATTCGCACTAAATCGAAGTGTTGTTTCAATGGAATAATTTAGTTTGGGACTTGAGAGAAACACAAAATACTAAAAAGACTGAGAGTCTACCCAGATGCACCTCAACCCATCTCCTAGAATAAACAAAACATTGTTCTTTGTAATATTATGTTAAAACAAATACAGTATTCATAAATTAACACAGCTAAAATTAAGGGAAGTGAAATGGTCTGTTTATTAGCGAATAGCTGTTGGGAAGATGGGGGGAGGGGACAGGTGAGGTGATATGTTTGACAGTTGATGCCAAGGTCTAGTGCTTATTTATTTATGTCCTTAAGAGTGACTAAGTTTTTCTCATATAAAATGTAACTGAACGGACATGGGCGAATATAATTAACATTGCTGGAATTCTTATAAGATAGTGATTAGTTTGAATATAAACATGCTGTAGTTCACATCAGACATACAAATTTTAGTTCAAATTAATTTTATTACAAACAGCTAAAATTATTATCCCATGCAAAATATATGACGTTTATATTCAAAATATTCGCTGTCTTGTAAGGATTCTAGCAATGCAAATTATATTCTCCTAACTTTAGTCTGTGATATTATATAACATAAAAACTGTAAGCTATAACCACCCAACCCTGGCTGGGAAGATGGGGGGGTGGGGGGTGTGACAGTGACACGTTTGACAGTTGTGCCGAACGTATAGTGAAGTATTTATTTGTTTATTGATGTCCTTTCGACTAAGTTTTTTGTTTATAAAATGTCACAGAAGTGACTGGGGAGAATATAATTTACATTGCTGGAATTCTTAATTTGAATATAAACATGCTATAGTTTGCACGAGACAAAAATTTTAGTAATCATTTAGTACATTATTTTGAGTACAGTACAGCTTTGCCCTTAGGACAGTGTACTGTGCCCAGAGAAACATTAGGCACGAATTTTAAAATATGATGGCTAGATTGACTCACGCAAAATAGAAAAGACTCGCTTTAAATTAAAACATTGTCCTTAATTGTGGGTGTCGCTTTAAAATAATAATCTTAAATTGAATCGCTTTAAATCGACGTTCTACTGTACCAAAGCAAACCAAGAGGAGGTGGGACAAGCTGCTCAAGTGCTGTGCATCTATGCACTCCTTAAGGGAGTGTACACCATAATTACCTGGCATACTGCAACAGGAGATCTCCTCTAGTATGTGCAGACCCTTGATATTGCCCTAGAATTCTAGAGGAGTATGGACTAATGATACAGCAGCTTCCACAGCATGAGGGACCTATAGCCTCTCCAGCAAAGAAAACCTTGCAAATCCCATAATCCAGTAAACTCTCGATTTAACGGAATCCGATATAACAAACTCTCAATTTAGCGGAAGAAATTCTTTCGTTAATTTTCGCTTGATTTAGTGCACTAGTTCGCTAAATTGAGATAAATTCTGTTAATATGCTAACACCTACAGAGACGCCTCAGACACATGATACAGTAAAACCTATTTCAGCCTACGACAAATGTACTAAATGTATAAAAACGATAAATAATGATATAAAAAACACCATATAAGATTCACCCCCCATTTTAGCAGGGAGTATTTGGATCACTGTTTCCAGTAACATATTAAACCACACAGGAAAAAGTAAACACTGGAGCACTGTAGCTTTCTTGTTCAATAACATGGGATCCAGTAATCTACACACCACCTCCACCACAAACGAAAGAGGAGCTTATAAAAGAAATGGGTGACATAACAACACTACATTTTTTTTTTTTTTTTTTTAACGGGGGAAGAGCCTACCCGGGCACAGGTCATCGACCCACAACACGGCCTAGGGGCGAAAAAATAGGAGTACAGTATAAAGAACTTAATAAGAGAAGAAAAGACCATTTTAATCTCCACCACGAAGATGCCGGAAAACCAGCTTTTTAAAGTGAGACATATTGTAAGAGTATGGAAACACATAAGAAGGAATAGCATTCCACAGTTTGTCTGTGTGAGGAAAGAAGGATGTACCGACAGCAAGAGAGAAACTGTGGGCACCGCGGGCAAGACGGGTGTTACGAGCCCATGGTTGCCCGTTAAAGTACAGCTACTCCCCAACTTATGACCTATTCGACATACGACCAACCGCACTTGCGACCTGCCTCAGTCGGTACGACCACCCGCACATACAACAGCCGCAGTCGGTACCAAAATTTGTTTCAAATGACGCACGTATTTTTTAGACCAAAACGTTTCCGTCCCGTACGAGAGCGTCGTGTGGCTTGGGTCACCTCATGGCTACAGCACCTACGCCGTAGAGCGCTTAGTTGGTGTTTGGCTGTCATTGTTCCCGTAACTGATCACGCTGTGTACTGACATTATTTTTGGATCAAATTCACTTTAGAATACTAACTGGAAAGTGTAGAAGTAGGAGTGCTGGTGGTGCTCAGAAGAAAAGGAGACAGTCAATTACTTTTGAGATGAAAATGAAGATAATAATGCAGTGTGAAAATGGAAAAACTGTAGCAACCATTTCATGCGACATAGGCTTCTCGCACTCGACCACATCTACTATTTTGAAGGACAAGGAACGTATTCGTGAGGTAGTGAAAGGATCAGCACCAATAAAGGGAACTATAATAACGAAGAAAAGACAAGGTCCCATTCATGAGATGGAAAAATTACTTGTGATATGGATGGAAAACCTGATACAAAAGCCTTCTAACCCTACAGGCTAAGGCAAGAAGCCTTTTCAAAAGCCTGAAAGAGCAGGCAGGATATTAGTGCGACTAAACCTTCACAGCAAGTCTTGGGTGGTTTAACAGATTTAAGAACCACTACAGTTTACATAATGTAAAGGTGAGTGGAGAGGCAGCTAGTGCTGTGTTGGTGCTGCCGAAGCTTTTAAGGAGGAGCAAGATCGTGTCATCGTGGAGGGAAATTATTTGCCTGAGCAACTATTCCATGTGGATGAAACTGGATTATTATGGAAGTGCATGCCTGGACATACATCCACAAAGAGGTGAAAACAATGCCAGGATTCAAGGCATTCAAGGACCGAATTACACTTCTGTTGGGGGGGAATGTAGCTGATTTCAAGATAAAGTCCTTCATGATCTATCATTTAGAGAACCCAAGGGCTTTTAAACATGTCTTGCAAGGATTTCAGCAATGCAAATTATATTATCCTAACTTTAGTCTGAGATATTATATAAAATAAACACCTTAAAGCATAAAGAAATCACCAATCTTTTTTCTGGGAACAGCAAGGAGGGAGGGAGCCAGCCAGCGTGGGAAGACGGGGGAGCGGGAGATGAGGTGACAGAGTGTCTGGTGTTTGTTTATTTATTTGAGATTTCTGTTTTTAGCTCATAAAATTCATACAAATTACCCAGCCATAATATAATTTACATTGCTGGAATTCTTATAAGATAGTGATTAATTTGAATATAAACAAGCTAAAATTTGCATTAGACATACAAATTTTAGATCTAATTTAAGAATTTTATTAGGGAGAGCAAAAATTTTTATCTTTTGTGCAAAATATATGATGTTTATATTCAAATTATTCGCTGTCTTGCAAGGAATCCAGCAATGCCAATTATATTCTCCTAACTTTAGTCTGAGGTATTATTTATTATTAAACCTGTAAGCCTAGTGCTTTTCCCCAAACATTTCTCAGGAAGGTGGGAGGGAGGGAGGGAGGGAGGGAGGGAGGGAGGTGAGTGACAGTTAGTGGGAAGGTCTGGTAAAGTATTTAATTTCTTTATTTAATGTTGCTCATAAAATTGTATATAAATAACCGGCCAGAATATAATTTACATTGCTGGAATTCTTATAAGATAGTGATTAATTTGAATATAAACAAGCTAAAATCTGCATTAGACATACAAATTTTAGATCTAATTTAAGAATTTTACTAGAGGGCAAAAATTTTCTTTTGTGCAAAATATATGACGTTTATATTCAAATTATTCCCTGTCTTGTAAGCCTAGTGCTTTTCCCCAAACGTTTCTCGGGAAGGTGGGGGGTAGGGAGGGAGGGAGGGAGGGAGGGGTGACAGTGACATGTTTGACAGTTGGTACCTGAGGTGTGAAGTATTTAATTGTTAATTTATGTCCTTTAGATTGAGTTTTTGTTTTTTGCTTATAAAATTTAATAGAAGTGGCCAGGGTGAATTTAATTAGCATTGCTGGAATTCTTATAAGATAGTGATTAGTTTGAATGTAAACATAGAAGAGATCACTGAATTGGCTGAGTACCTCCTCAGCTTATCAGCTGATGTTCAAAACAAAATGTGATTTTCGTAAGGATTTCGTTAATTAAATGTTTTTTTTTTTGGTTAACCTAATTGAAGATTCTTATGGAAGGTAATTTGTTAACTGAGGCGTTCGTTAACCGAGGGACCACTGTATATATATTAGTGATTTAAGAGAGATTTAGGGGTGTTTCTGACTTTACGCGTTTTTGGGCTTTACCCGAGGTCCCAGGAACGTAACACTCGCTTAAGTTGCGAGTCTACTGTATTGCAGTAGTGATCCCATTGAATTATTTTAGTTCAATAAGACTTGTAACATAGAAGCAAAGGGATAGAACCCATGAACCTGATTCTATATATTCCACTTAGAGAAATAACAATTAACTCCTACCAATTCCTCCTCAGAAACAGGAGCCACTAATGAGGAAAGTGCAATTACCAGACATCACAAACAAATCCACAGACTCCGAGCAATAGAAGGTATACAACTAAAAAACTGGGTAGTTATTTAATATCCATACCAATGAAACTCCCTTATTCCTAAAAATGTCTGGCCTGACACTGAGCATTTCAGCAACAAGCATTGCCAAAATATAACAGGAAAATTTCAATGCAAAGAGAAAGGTTTCCCTCCAAATTAACCACAAGAGAAGGAACCTAACCTAACCTTACTGTATTTCTGAATATAGTATCCCGTGCCTGTCACTAAATTATGTCATGAAGTACCTCACACAAGACAAAAATCACACAAAATATTAAAAAAAAATATCTATATAAGAAAAAGATACATCACAAAGTTCTCTATGAAGACAAATAATCTCTCTCTCTCAATCAATTTTATACCTTATATTCATATTTATATTACTTTCAAGATCCATGTATCTTGAGCATATAGGGAAGATTGAAATATACTTTGAAAAAAAATAATGCTACAGAGTTTCATTGAAAGTTTCCTAATAAAAAATGTCAATAGAAAGACTTCTATAAGTGAAAACTCTGACTTTGGGGGGTTCTATGGGGTGGCAAATGGGAGAGGAGTCAGTTGCCAAATGTTTGCTGTTGTGACCACTGATCCACTGTGCACTCTTTTTTTTTCTGTAATTACTATTTAATGCTTCTCCTGTGTATCGTTATGGCCTCCAAAGCAAATAAAGGCAAAACACCACCACTGAGGATCACTGGGAGAAAAGGAATGGTGCTCACAACTCTACCATTTGAAAAGAAACCGACTATATCAGACAGAATCGAAGCTGTGGTGTCCCTGAACGTATATCTGTGTTAAGTTTGGGCTGAAGTGGAGTGCTGTACTTTTTATGACATCAGCCAGATTTAAAAGAACATACTAGATATAAGTGTAACTAAACATTAATTGTAACTAAATAATGTATGAGTAAGCGCATTGTAAATGTAGACTGTTAACTTTAATATTATTTTTGTAAGGGATTTTTCAGCAAAATTATGGTTGAAAGAAAGCACCTGGGGGAGGTGATGCATATGTTGAATTCTAGATAAGTCAGACAATTTTGAGCCCCATATAGTCCATCTTAGGGAGGTCTTACGTATACAGTACAGTATATATTTTTACCCCCAAAAAAAAAAAAAAATTGCACCCCCCGCCGGTTTGGGAGCCACAGCTCTATGGGTTTATCTATCATTCCTCCACATTCTTGTTCTTTCTTTACAAACAAGTAGGAGCTGCTTCAATATGTGATACACAATCCAGCAAAAAAGAATTCTTCAAAAAATATTGTAAGTGACCCTATTAATGCATTGTTGTTATTGCTGTTGTTAATGTTGCTGCCCATGCTTCATATGAGCAAGCAGCCACTGGCTCTCAGGTATCCAGTGACAATTGCCAGTCACTTTCAGAGATCTTTTGTACTGAAAGATCTATGTTGGATAAATATTGGGGCATGAGTGAAATATCAGTTAGGCACCTTGAAGACTGTGTATTGGTTTAGGTAGGGGGGGAATGACCACATCATAATCTGAGAAGATGTACTCTAATTTCTCTGAGATGAGTGGCATCTGGAATGTGGATATCTGATGGGGGTAAACTCATTATACTGTTTGGTTAGTTGGATGGAGAAGAGTGCTGAGTTGTTGTCTAAATGTTTGTGGTTGATTATATACACAGTATTGGGAGGTGTAGGTGAAGTTTTGTTGAGTGTGCAATAGTGTTGTGTTACTTGTATATTGTGTTTTTTGTGTCTTTGGTTTGGGAGTTATTCATGATTAACCAAGAAGATGAACCACTAGTCCCATATGTTATTGTAAATATGTATGGGGATGATTCTTGATTCACAATGTATGCAGTTATTATCTGGGGTTTCAATACAGTGTGGGTTCATAGGTGTTTTTGGAGATGTACAACTGGTCAATGGCTGAAATGTCTGAAAAGGATTCGATATGTGGCTGCCCTTTAAGGAAAGGAACTGTCCACATGGAGGAAGATATCTGGAATATAAAGGTATTAATCTATATCTTGATATAGCCTTAAAACTATGTGTATATTACCTATATTATCAGTGCAACTAAATACATACAGTAGGTTACATACCTCACATTTGTCATTGTGGATGGATACTCCAAATCTGTAGGAGGGTGAGTGGTAACCCCAATCTCTAGCGACCCTGCCCATTTGTCTACACACTTGTCTAATCGTACTTCAAACATCTCATTGGATTTCAAGGGGCGACAAGTAAGGACAACCCCATTATTGAAATCATCTGCAGCA